TTTTTCCGGAAAAAATTTTGGACCCCTAAAATGGTACACTGACCGAAATTTTTTTGGCGACGTGGGGGGGGGGGGCGCCAAAATAAATTCCGGAAAAAAATTTTCCTCATCTCAAACCCTCTGTTAGATTCTTTCTGCAGTGCCACCCCCCCCCCCAGAAATTGAGAGCCAGCTACGGGCTTGACTTCGTGTATGGTTTTGGCAAACTAAGGAGTAAGGCGGCCTTGCATGTTTCGCGACCTTATACGGCAAATGCCAGGCAAAGAAAATTTTATGGTATCAGGCAATAAAGAGTAAATGAACTTGCTGTTTTAAAACGAAAATACATAATTATTCTTTCGACGCAAGAAAGAAAATATGATCATGAAACGCAAACGTTCAACGAAAATTTTGCCAAGAAAGTTCGAACCATGCCGTTCGCCGTTCCCGGAAACGTGAAGCTTCAATTCCCTAACATTCCGTATACACGAGCAACAAAATTTGTCAAGCGATACTCAGTAAAGAAAACTTGTTGATCGCATATACACAAGCAGGAGCGTAAGAACGGGGGGGGGCACGTGTCCCCCCAAATTTTTTCAAAGGACTAAAAGTGCCCTTTTTTGTGATGAAAAGTGCCCTTTTGGTACAAGCTAATGGCGCTGTTAATGTGCAATTACCCTCCCCCCCCGTCGCCAACATTTCCGGAAAATTTTTTTTGGTGCCCTTTTCAATATCCTAAGTGCCCCTGGAAGCCGGTGCCCCCCCCCTCCCCCCAATCTTTTGATGCTTCCTACGCCCCTGCACAGGAGAAAGTAAACTCTTGTCAAGGAAAACTTGTTGACCGCATACACACGAGAAAGTAAACTTGTCAAACGTGCTCGTCGATGCTTTACGGACGTCAAACGGACGGTCACACCTACCACACAGTATTTCCAGGAAATGACACTGACACTAAGTGAAATTTTACGATACGAAACCGTTCAAATGGGAAACCAGTTATAAACTGTATATGTTTTCCATTTCATTGTGATCGTATAGCCACGGATTGTAATTTATCACTAGTTTCTTTAATTTGTGTCAAAGTCGTTATCTCCACTGAGTTACTAAACAGATTTAACAGACCTTTCTTATAGTGACGCGTCAAATGCGGAAAGCCAATTATTTAATGCCCACAGCTAGGACAATGCACGTCGTTGGCGAGCCAAATTTCATAAAAACATCACCTTGCATTGCGAATTGTCGCTATTTAAAAATTGTCCCTGACGCTTGGGACGTCGCATTAATTAAGTGTTTTCCCGCGAGTTTGACGTCATTACAAGGAAGGCCTGTCTAAACGAACTTTCCAGAACGAAATGTGCGTGGGAACAGTCAAGACGCCGTACAGACGAGCACGTTTTCTTGCTGTGACAAATTTCCTAATAAAAATCGGTAGTTGCTCTTACCTATAATGGTAGAGTTTGACGGACCCTGAGGTACACGGCTGTTCAGTGTCTCTTTCTCGATTCGGGACGTGCAGCGTTGTCTAGTCGAAAAGGAGATGTGGGTAGCAACAGCTTCTTGCCGCAACCAAGGTCTTGGATTGCAAGCTCAAGACTCGGTATAAGTCTTGAATTTTGAATTCATGACATATATATCCAGGTCTTGAATTGAAAATGTCTTACATTCAGTGAATGTAAGACACGCCGTATACCGGGTTTACATTTTCAGCCCACTGCTTTCCAACAGAACCAGTTCTCGAGTCAGAAACAAAACCGATTGAAAACAATAGAAAATGGGTGTGGTAGGTACTGTATATAAACAACGGGAACCCACAGACTTGCGTCTTGGATAAAACACCTGCATTTTAATTAAGACGCGAGAAGGGATACTCAGCGAATTTCAGTACCGACAGTAGAACTTTCTCAACAATAAAGCGGCTATTTCCAGCTAACCAAACAGTATTAAATTGATACGATCCGTAATAGTCTACAAACTTTCTTTGCAATCGTTTATACTGACCGTTGTCGTTGCGTTGCCGTCCTCGACTCGTAAGGTTTCTAGTATCTACTAATCTACATCTATATATATATATATATATGGTCGGTAAAGTCCTTTCGAATATCACATCTTCTGGCCAACAATGTTATGACGTCACGGGTATTGACTGAGATCGTCAAAATCAGAGAGGATTGACATATGTCCATGGTAATGAATGTGAATGAGTGAATCAATTGCAACTTATCCTATAATTCCATATAGAATTTCTTTGCGACACACAGCCTGAGTGAATGTACACCTTTCGGGTCTGGTCCTTTCGCTTCGAACCGACACCGAGGTGTGATTCCTGATACAATACAGGGGGTATAAACTGAAACCCTGCACAGTTCCAACAAACCTTGTGAAAACTTGATGCATGCACGGTTAATTTGGGGTCTGCTACTATCTTTACCACAAAATTATTTTGATGCAGCAGGGTTGTTTGCGCAGAAAATTAGAAGGCTTAAAACGCATTTTGAATTCATAGGGTGTCAATTTAGAAGGTGTTCTATGAGCTATAATAATAATAATTTAATAATTTGTATGCTTTTTACATATAATGATCAAAAGCGCTGTATTACAATATAACCGATGTTCAATATGGTAAGCATCACTAATAAAATGTTGAAATATTGACTTTAATATAAACTAAATGTTATAAAAGCTAGTTTAAAAAGATGAATCTTATAAGACAAGTTTTGAAAACACTTACTGATGAAATTTCACGAATTTCTTTCGGAAGTTCATTCCAAAGTTGCGTGGGAGCTACTACAGTGAAAGATCGGTCGCCAAATGACCGTAAAAATTTACCCTTACAGAACTCTAGCATAATGCTGCATTTTTTCCTATCATATTTAAATTTATTAAAATCTGCCGTCGTTTTTGTAGTCCGCCATTTCCGCTCCGCTTTCCTTCTTTCTTTCTTTGCAAGTTTGATTTCCTCATTATACCATGGTACCATAGCCCTAGAGGTAACAATTCCCCTCTTCAGCGGAGCGTGGCGATCCAAAACAGCAGATAACGTATTATTATAGCATGCAGCTTACTAAAGCCTGCCGCACACGAGAGCTATCTGCTGAGCAAAAAGTTACTCGTGCCTGTTAGCTCAGCCGATAGCTCACCGTGTGCGGGTACAATTTACTGAGTTTTTTGCCTCATGCAACCTTTTCTCACGTATCAAACATGTTTGATCGCAGAGCTATCGGCTGAGCTAACAGGCACGAGTAACTTTTGGCTCAGCAGATAGCTCTCGTGTGCGGCAGGCTTAAGGAATCAAGTTGTGTAGGAGCATCCAGGCATAGTTTTGATTCACCCAGGTATCGAAGTATCATGACAACTCGATGTACATTTAGTAACACTGAATTTAGATAGAAACTGATATAGTTTTGAACAGGGCCGTACATCAATTAATTATTTTTGGATATTTGGGACTTTTTCGGCATATATATATATAGGCCTTATCGTCTTACTGCCCCCCTGGTGATAAAATCCTGCGTACGGAGTACAAAAATAAAAGTTTCGGGAAAATCAAAAGAAAATTAAACTCGTCCCAGACCTCTCCCCCACCTTCCGCATGATCCCGTCACGTGACCGGTTGTGTATATTCTCTATATTAAAAATTTCATATCTTTATTTTGGAATTTGTGGCCATTTTAAATCGACTTTACATCACTTTCAAGCAGTATTCGACTTCAAATTGCAGGATTTTGGCTTCCATGCACAATATTACACATCACAACGTCTTTACCATTTAAGCTGATGCGGTATGTTCGTTCGTCAAGGGAATTGCATTTGAATAATTTGAAGTGGAAGGAGCCATATTTTGTCGAAGTGTTTCGAAGACATTCGCTCTCAAAAGTTGGAATGCTGTCGGATTAAAGGAGTGTAGCAATTCTGAACTTCGAAGTTCAAAGCTGTCGCTTTTCGCGGGAAGCCATTTAGCGGCCAAACGATTCGCGAATCGTCGTTGATCGCTGTGGAATTCGAAGCACGTCTACGAAAATAACAACTTGACACAAACTGTGCAAAATATTTGGCGATCGACAAGCGAATTTGAACATCAAAGTGTGATATATTGGATAGATCGGTCGACAGTGTCTTTTTGAAGTTTAAAGTCGGGGATTTCGTATCCGAAGTGACGAAAGTTTGTCGAATTAGAAGCCGCTTTGCGTTGTTGACAGAAGGCAAAAGTCAAATAAATTAGAAGTGCTTTTTCGATTCTGTTACATTGGACTGACGTTTTTGATACTTGAAAGCAACTATATCGTTGGATTTTGATCTATTTTAAAGCTATGAATCAATCTTGATGCTGTTGAGTTGAAGCGAGCAGGAATTCGCGAGTTAAAGCCGTCATAGAGGACGATAAACAAAGGCAAACAATTCAGTATCTTTGTCGATTCATAGCAAGTACTTGGTCGAATTAGCAGGGGTTCTTAATTCATTGTTTGGCCTCAAATGCTCGTCTGCAAGTGGCGTTTCACTTCTGAACAACGCTGGCTATGTTAAAATGAAAGTATACAGCAAAAACTAGTTGGAATTTATATCAGAATATGGCAGAAACCAGCGAACGTTTTATAAAGTGCCTCATAAAACCTCCCATCGCAAGAACGGACGAGGTAGGATGAGTCCGGGTGACCATTGGAGTCATTGATTAAAAGTTGCAAATTATCTAATTGTTACATTTAACCGGCGGAAATAGGGTTTATATACACCAGAAATGTATATTTTACAGTGCAGGGATAATCCAGTTACAGATATCAGAAAATTAGTAGTATTCTGAGCAAATTATATTAATCAGCTGAATCAATACTGTACAACCTCTTGGGAGAACAGTCTAGATTGAGCTATCCATTATAGATAAATTAGTTTCAGTTTAGTTTAATTTAGCGACTTTGGTCTCTTATGCCCTGCAATTTCTATGCAACATTCTGAGCATTTGATAACTTAACTTTTGCAATGAAGTGACAGATTTGCAGACATGGATAATATTGAATGAATACTCATTGTGGAGTCAGCCTGACCTAAGTGGTTATTTATAGTCCCTTGTTCTGAGTGTCATAGGCGATGGAACCGGGAGGCAGCTAGGGGGAGGCTATTGCCCCAAAGGTAGACATGAGGGGCTTAATAAGATTATAATTTGGGGACTTGATATGAAGTGTCAGATTCTTAGTTGTTGCATGTCAGATCATCCATAGAACACAGGAAATGCCATTTCAGAAACTCTAGATTTCAATATTCAAGAGTTTGTCTAGCCTCCTTCCTTGTAACCAAAACCAATATTCTTCTACCAGTACAGTGTGTTACCCTTAGACGGTTCTTTTGCCCCGCAAAACATCCTGCTTCCCACAGTTCCTGTTATTAAGGACTTTTTTTACATTGCATGCATCAATCAATAGTCATTCAGACATTATAGATGGCAAGTCAGTCAAGCAGTTCTTGTTTGAAATCACAATTGAGGAACTACGATAACCATACACTGACTGCCATTTTTGATTTCAAAAATTTTTGATTGATGTGCATGTTGTCACTTGTTTAAGCTCTCTGATAAGTGTTATTTACCTGTTGTTTAGGATTTATCATGTGTCTTGAAACATTTACGAGGCATGCAGGCCATGTCGGGTCTTGGAGGTGAAGTTATAAAGTAAGTACAGTATTGGGGTATATTGATATACTAGTATATTGGTATACAGTATATATTGAACAGCCAGCATAGGTAGTGACAAGAACACCCATAAAGCTGCAGATTGATAAGGATTTAACTACCTGACCAGTAAAATGTCAATGTTTTGAGGAAAGGCCCAGTCTGCTGGGAAGTTAGTACTAGACTACTACAGCCAATTGCAGTTGAGCTTGCAGCTTGCATTTTAAATGCGTTGTTACATTGTCGAAAAGTATGTGTTCATTCCTTGGAAACATGCCGTTGCTAGGGGCGTAATGTTAACTTTTGGCGGGCATTGTAACCATTGTTGAACTTCTGAAGGGCATACAAACAAACATATAATGAGTTCAATGTTGTTGTGAAAGTGATGCTTAAGCCTGCGATGGAACAGTACAGTATTAAAGAATGCCTGCAGTCAAATTAGAACTCCCTGGTATAAAAAGCATGACTTCTGTGACAAAACCTGATTTAATTTGTCAATGTCAAGAATAGAAAAACATGATGTTTGTGATGTTACTCTGAGTGTGCATCCACACCAGGCAAGCTGAAAAGTTAGCTTGGCCACGGTGGGAATCGAACCCTTCAGCTTGCCTGGTGTGGATGCACACTCAGAGTAACATCACAAACATCATATTCACCTTCAGGAGTATCATAACACCAACACACACAAAATAATAGAAAAACATGTTTATGCCCTTCAGAAGTTCAACAACATCCGCCAAAAGTTCATGTTATGCCCCTAGCAACGGCGAGTTTTCAAGGAACGAACGTTCACATACTTTTCAATGTAACAACACATTTAAAATGCAAACGGCAAGTTCAACTGCAATTGGCTGTAACTTACTGACTTAAGGACCTTTGCTCGAAACGTCAAAGTTTTACTAGTATTTTTCAGGTTGTTGAATCCTTCTCAATCCACAGTATTGGGTCAAACCTTTATGTAGTTGAGAAATTTTCATCATTTTTGATGAGCCATGTTTTTTAGCTTCAACAGCAGACTTGAAGGTTATATCCCCATGTTTCATGCAAATATGTTTCTCTTTCTCTTTGATTGGGCCAAGGAAAAAACCCTCAAGGTTTCCGGTTTCCCGACCTACCTAGCTTTTGGCTACTACTGAAATCACCAACCCTTGATTTTTTTATCTGAAGTTTATCTGAAGCGGTATCAATTTCCCGTGCGTAATACATACAAAATGACTGAAAAACGGCAAACTTCGCAGTGCTATATTATCTGCATTTTACAGCATTTCGCAACGAAACTTCGGAACATTACTAATTTTGTGATGCTCTTTCAAGCTGTGGTGAAATGTTTGTCTAGACTTGTCTGGATCAAAATTTTGTTCATTAGGGAATAAGTCCATTGACATAGAATATCACTCTCATGCATTCAGAGCATTTATAAAAAAAGTTTAACAGAAAAAAGAAAACTCGACCTATCCTACCTACGTTTTTGCAACAAGAAATAGGAACCCAAGTATTTCTTTTTTTGCCTTCTGATCCCAATCACAAGCCTATCCTTAAACCCATTGTGCACAAAACATGAGAAATAAGTATAACCACATGAAAATGAGGCCATTGGGAGCATATATATGTATGTGTACATCAACAAATGTGAGTGGTTTGAACAAGTAAAAACGAAACGTTATGTACAGTACATGGAACATGACTTTTTTAATAGTGTTTCATAACCAACATAATCTTTGTAATACTGAGAATGACTTTTTTTAACTTATGTATTAGTTGACATTAAGTTGGTTATGAAATAGTAAAAATGTTATGCTCCATATACTGTACATGACGTTTTTGCTTGAACCACTCACAAATTATTATTTCAACCACTTTTTTGATATATTTTACTGTTTGTATCTTTGTAGAGCCATGTGTAAAACAGCTCGCTATGAAGTCCATGAATCCAATCATTTGCTCTACATGTAAGTGTGAAGTACTTCTTAATCCATTAATACCTAACACCTACAGGTGTTAGGGTTAATTGTCTGGGATTAGACTTAGTTAATAGAATAACAACTACATGTAAATACAGTGAAGCCTTAAGCCAGCTCACTGTTGCAGAGTTTTCAATAGAATTTCCATCAGCAGGTGTTTGACATTATTATATATGGCACAATAATGGGCCCATGTGCCATAGGACCCCTGCAACTAAGAAGTCAGGGCTTCACTCTGAGAATGCTTTTGGAATTCAATCCTCTCAAAGAGCCTCAATCCTCTCAAAGCTTTAAGTAAAATATACGTATATATACCATGGCTGTTCACTGCCCAAATTACTTGATTTAATTCCTACTTTTATATTTCAACACAATTTAAACAATCTATAATGTTCATCTGATTCTGACATACTGTTCATGTATCTCTATACATTCAGATTCTTGATGTAAACTTATAAAAGCAGAATTACAGTAACTGCATTTATGTTCCCTAAAATGTCATCCTGAAGATACGCTAGGACGAAGTTGAAGAATTTCAATAGACGGCTGACACATGAGCACAACGAGAGAAATCGAGGAGACCTCATCCTAAGACTTTTTACTTTCGTGAGACTTTTTAGTTTTTACTTTTGAAAACTGTCTAACATTCTTTGAAGTATATATTCTTTGAAACACGTGGAGCAGGATTGTCGTACATCTGGCAGAAAACCTGTTGGCTTCTATTGGAAACCCTGCTATTGCTTCACTGTAGCATGTTGTCCTGGTCATTTGGAAGACTAAATATTTTTTTTATCAATTTTTTGGTTTACTTTTTGGCGACATTTAATTTCAAGAAAAAAACATTGAAAATATAAAACTTCCCAATATGATGCTTTATGATAAATAGATTTATTGATCTACTGTATTTTATATTGCATATGAGTTAAAATTATCATATTCGATACTTAACAAAGTTGATGTTTGTGATGTTACTCTGAGTGTATATCCACACCGGGCAGGCTTGAAAAAGATGCCCTACACTCACTGTCACTCAGAGCAACATCACAAGCATCTTATTCACCTGAGTAAACTACACCAACACACCAAATATCATGATTATTAGATTACACTGATATTGAAGGAACTAGACTCAGTTCCGAAATATCACATACTCGAACTGACCTGACCGCGTAGCTCAGTTGGCAGAACATTGAGCTAGTATTCCAAAGGTCGTAGGTTTGATTCCCACCGTGGACAGGCATATTTTTCAAGCCTGCCCGGTGTGGATATACACACTCAGAGTACTGTAACATCACAAGCATCTTATTCACCTGAGTACACTACACCAACACAGCTAATAACTTAACAAAGTATTTTAATATGTTTTTAGGCAAAATGACTATGCAACATGCTGGTACATTCTGCTGTCAGGATCTGTGTTCATTGATTGCAACATGTATCTTCCAGGAAGCAGGTAATTATGTATATAGATAATATTTGACAGAATTACGCAACCGAATTCTTGGCTCAGGGCTTTGAACTATTCTGTGCATATACGTACGTACGAAGAATGCTTACTATAGCCTACCTGAATATCTCAGCATAAATATGGAACGAATCCAAAAGAGAGCCATGCGGATCATACATGGTTATGACACACCTTACGAACAAGCCTTAGCAACCTCTAGAATTCCCAGTCTGTCTCAACGTAGAGATGAACTTTGCTCCACCCTTTTCGACAAAATTGTTGTGCAACAAGAAGAACAACTATACAAGTACCTACAGCCAAATACTAGAGAAGATAAAGTGAACCTCCGAAGAAAGCGTCCCTTTGTGATCCCACGTTGCAAAACGAACAGATTTAAAAATACATTTTTGAACGCAAGTGCTATAAACTACAACAAGATTCATTCCTTGTAAATAACTGTATATAACTACGAATATTTAGATGTAAATTTATACTACAAACTAATTATTTCTGTAAACCTTTGTAATTCAGCTTTTGCTGCAAATAAGGCTTCTAAATAAACCAATCTATCTATCTATCTAACCATAGCCTTCAAATGGGGTTTTCTACGTGGGCTTACAGTATATAAGTTTGAATCTGTTTTTCTGCATTCTTAAGTTTTGGCAAGCAACCGTTATGGTATGATGGTCGGAGAGGAAGCGAATGTCTTATACTGGAACACTCGGAAATGATTGTTGTAAGTTTTTCTGATTATTTTATTGTTTAATTAAGGGACCAGTCATCGATGTAATTACATAATAGATGTAATTCAGTTGATGTAGATCAACTCTATTCAATAATGATGAGTGCGGACGAAACAGTTTCATGTCCTGTCAGTTGTCTGATTAATAAAATTGTTTGGCATTCATTGGCTCAAAATAGCAGCCGGTCAACGGACAATGACCAGCCACATTTTCATGTCTTCCAATGTGATTGCCGACGTCTTGAATTAAAACATGAAACTATGATGTATCAAAACAAGTTTCTAATAGTTTGTTTTACTGTTAGTGTAAGCGTATCAATGACCGGTCAAAAACAGATTCACTTGACCAAGCTAAAATCAAGTTGACAGATCATTTTGACTGGAGACCTATCTTCCGTTATTTTGAGCCCTGTTGGCAATTTTTGAACAAAACATTTATTTAATAGTAAAATAATTGCTGCAACTTGCAATGCAATCTTGGATACAGATCGGCCATGTTATCTAAAAAGAAGTCACAGAGAAATGTGAGCATGGCCCATATTCTACTGAGCCGTTGTCAGAGGCCGCGGAAGCATTTCGAAAGTCGAGCTGGGCATTGGCCAAAAGGGTCACTTTTGTATGTATATGACCAAAATCAAATGATCTTATGTTGTTCACAAGCTGAATGAAAATTTTCGAAAATATAGAGTCTCAATAACGTCGGAAATGGCCTTTATGGAGTCTTTACTACTGCAAAAAGGGCACTTTCATTCCAGCAAAAGAAGGCATTCATTCAAGAAATTTTTTTTTGTTCTTTAAGTGGGGCACTTTATCCCAGAAGAAAGGGCACTTTTTTCACTTTTAAAAAAGTGATGGGGCACATGCCCCCATTGCCTCCCCCGGGCGCCGGTTCCACGGCCTCTGGCCGATGTCCAGGGTGTTAGCTAGCCCATATACTGTCCGTTTGACGGACTCTTCCCAATTGAAGTAGCTAAGGGGCTTTCCCAACTGGGTCTACTGGAAGATGTCCATTTTTTCTGATGAGAAAGTGCATTGCATTTGATTTTATATTATTATATCAAAGAACGTTTTATTTACTTTTTCCCATTAACTATTTTCTCAAAATGCATCGCGTTTCATTCATATTGGGTGTGTATTCACTGAAATACAAAACAAAGCGTAATCGGTGTGCATCCGTGTTCATTCACCGGAAATGAAATATACAAAACGAAGTGCCATCGGGCGCATTTTTCAGTATTCATTCACAGGAAATTAAATGTACAAAACCAAGCTACCGTTGTTTGCATCTAAGGAGAAACGCGTTGGAAAAAACACTATTTATTCCTACACAAGGACTTTGATCGGTCAAAAAAACTTTCCCAATTTATGTTTAACGGACAAAACTTTTTTTTCTGGCTAACACCCTGGATGTATGATTTCGATTATGATTTGTGTGAGCCAGACTGCCGTAACATTGATGCAGAGCTGCAGACTGAGAGAGATACAACTTTCCTGACAAATATAAGCAGAAATTTTGTGTGAAGTCCCTTCGTCTGGAAGTTCGGTTGACTACTAACTAATTAGGAACCTGAGATAAGGTTTTGGTGATATCAGTTTGCCTGTGTGGCCACAATATTATATTATTCATATTAGAAGACGGATTTCCGTCTAAGACGGGAAACTCGTATGATGGATTTCCGTCTGGTATGAATATGAAACGAAAACCATTGGGCGGATAAAACGTAACGATAAACACGTAAAAATAGGAGAGCCTCCATCCCAATCTCTTTTCAACGTTACGAGCTGCAACCCGTCTTGATCTCAATGGTCTTGATTCATCCGTCTGATATAAATTTAAGACGAGTTTCGCGTCTAACTTTCCCGTCGTTCAGACGGGAAAGTTAGACGGAAAAGTTGAGACGGAAAACCCGTCGTTAGCCGAATTTAATATTCTAATATATTATGAATTTAATATTTAACAAATATAAAACATTTTCTGTGTTGATATACAGTTATATCAACACTCGTGGAAATTGGGAATGTTTTATATTTGTTTTATAATATAGCACAAAGAAATATAAAGAAAGAAATTTCCCGACGTTTCCGTGTTGACATTGAGTTATATTAACACGGCTCGTAGCCAATTCTGGTTCAGAGTTTACAAATGCTATGTTATAAAAAAACTTCTAATATGAATTCAGCTATTGAGAGAGCATCATGTTAAATGCATTAACCTATGTATAATTTAATAATACTTGCATATATTTTCTTAGATTGATTATCCAGACTCACGACTACTGAAACCCAATCAACGACGTTCATATGAAGCCATGGATCTTGAAATGATGTTAGCGTTGGAGAGTGAAGAGGTCAAAGTTGGAGGACCTATACCGGATGAAAAGGTAACAAAAGGGGTCAATATTGGATTATGTCAAAAATGCCTTAAATTATGACTGGCAGCCTCCGGTTAGGCACATGAAAATTCTGTAATACAGTATAAGGTGATACGTTGAGGCAGCCTGCCATTTACTGTATTAGGTTAATCAGAAAATAACTACAGTTAGGATATAGCTGCTCCCATTGTCCATTGGTTCATTTTCATAATCAATTATTAATCAATTAGCCTTTCTCACGATGACGAATATCCGCCATTTTTGGGTGGCATCCAATTCTCGTTAACCAACGCAGACAATTAAAACAATGTGAAAAGCTATTTTTTAAAATAAACTAACCATTTACAAACTAAGCAAATTTACAATCATTTGTCAAAAAAAAATTAAAAAGTCGCTGTTATGTGGACTTATCTCGCAGACTTCGGCTGAAATGCCACCCAAAAATGGCGGCGTGGGAAAGGCTAATTGATTCACCCATTAGGTTACAATTTGCCCATTCCGCCCTACTTTATTATTTAATTATTTTACTCTGTCTAATGCCAGACGATTTTACTCGTTAAGGGGGGAGCACTGGTGCTCAATGGGTTAATCAGACTATCTGACCAATGGCATGTGTCTAGTTAAACCATTAAGGTTACTTCACATGATGAACGTGCGTTTTAGCCTATTGAGCATGGCGCAACGAATTTTAGGTGTAACTTTACCAAGTTTTTAGTGAAGAAAGACAAGAAAATGCTGATTTCGAAAATCTTCATTTGATGCGTGTTCTGCTTGAACATGTCCAGTATTGGCTAACTAAAGAAATATATGGGTATCCCACATAAAAAAATCAAAATATGTTTATAGTTTACCTCAACGTTTGTCTACATATCTCCATTTGAATTCTCATAGGTACGTTAAAAAGTTGTGCGGAAAATTTCTCTTCTTCAATGGTTTTTCTTATATGACGTTTTCTTTGACAACTTCGTGAATTATCAGTGACAAATCCAAGAAGCAGGGCATGTCAGAAAAACCAATAAAGAAGAGAAATTTTCCGCACACTTTGTTTTACCGTGCCTATGAAGATTCGAATTGCGATATCTAGACATATTTTGATTTTTTTATGAAGGTACCTAGTCTATATATTTATTCAGTCAGCCAATACTGAAAATGTTTAAACTGAACACCCGGGCTCATCAAATGAAAATTTTCGAAATCAGCATTTTCTTGGCTTTCTTCACTGAAAATTTGGTAAAGTTACACCTAAAATTCGTTGCGCAATGTCCAATACACTAAAACGCACGTTCATTGTGTGAAGTAACCTTAAGTTGCATTGTGCTCTAATATGCCCTAATTTTTATTTTACTCTATCTAACATCCGACGATTTTACTCGTCAAGGCTACTGAAACCCAAGAGCACTGGCGAATGGGTTAATATAATTGAATAAATGTAGACACATCCACAGTGGTTCATGTCGCTTCCAAGAATGGGGCGTGTTGTAAAGTTTTTATTTGACAGCCAATTGAAGTGTTAGTGGTAGCAGAGAAATAAAAAGAACAAGTCGCGTTTGTCTTTTTGATCACATTGACATTACCATCTCCTGGTATTTTTTTCAATCGGGAAAGAAAATTATCCACTCGGGTTATTCAGAAAGTTATCCAAAGATAGCTGTTTTGTTGATTCGATTACATTTGACAGCATTTAACACAGCAAAAAGATCGATCAGTCAGGAAAAGCTCTGAATCAGAATAATGCATTTTTGGCAGGCGCTAGCCTGTGTCACAGCATATGTTTATTGTTTACTGAGTTTCTCGTCCATTAATGAGCTGATTTCCCAACAGGCTATTGCCCAATTTTGATAGGGGATCCGAGGTATCTACGACTTTACACCCGTTTTCAAAATTACGCGACCTCCCTGAAAAATACTCTTACTTTAAATGTCAGTTTTATGTCAGAAAAACTGCTAAAAATAGCAAACGTAAACAAACTGTCAAAAGGCATTTTAAACCTTAATACCAAAACTGAACAAAAATGAGTGAGATAACTTAGGTATACAAGCTAAAGCACAATACAAACCATCACAACAGAAATATGTGCCGTGAATAACTTTTAAAGTTTGAAAAATAACAGTTTATCCTGGAATTTAGCTGTCAGTATAAAACACGCGCGCTAGACTATAAC